AGGATGCCATTCTAGTGCCAATAGTTTCTAACTAATTCAGCTTTCTAAATGCATTGCCATTCAAAGTCAGAAATACAACCAGTGGCAGCAAAGGAAAAAGAGTTTATAAAAGCATGCCTCTCAACATTATCAGTAGCCTGATAGGGCATTATTTCTTATAATTTCGAATGATGAACTGCCTTCTACAACAGAAAGCTAAAAGTGCTGGGAAAAGATTTTGTATCTGCTGACCAAGAAAAAGACTTTCTTTTCACCTTCTCACTCCACTGTATTAACAGCTAGTCCCCCTGCGCCTCACGACTACATCTGACACTACTGTCCTGGCTTATATCACGAGTTGAAAAGTGCCAGTCAGACTCCAAGATAAACTTGTCAATAGAGAAGTGCAGACATTCTTCCCTACCTGCTTGTGAATGTCAGCTGTTTGTCTGGAAGCAGTTCCTTGAAAAGCCCTTACTAAAGGAGAAAGGAAAAGGGAGATACAGAGGATAATTCAAACAAACAAATAAAAAAACTGAAAAAAACAAAACAAAACAAAAAAACAAAACCAGGGAGGGGAACCTCACAAAGACTGCAATGAGGAGAAAAGAAAAAAAAAAAACAAAAACACAACCTCTCCTCATCAGGTCCTCCCAACAACCTTCTTTATCAGCGGTTCATTGTCAATCAATTAGCCAAGGCAGCGGGGGTCTGTAAGAAGGGGGGTAGCCTGAGAGACAATGGTCTGCCCTGTTGTATTACTATTTAATCACTTTTCTTAAATAAATAAAGCAGCCCTGAGGTGCTGTCATGTCAAGGGAATTTATAACAAAAAAAAACACATCATTTTTCATTGGTCATTACTTTTCCTTCCCTCCCACCCCTGCAGGACTAGAGAGGGTTATTACTGTAGCCTTAAGTTCCATCTTTGTATTGCTTGCCTTTGATTCCCACTCGGACCTTGCCACTTTCTGGCACTAATTTGTCAGGCCGAACAAAGGAGGGATTTGTACCTCCTGTAAGGTCTCAATTAGGAAAGGCTTCTGCTGTATTATGTGCCATTGGGACAGGACACAAAGACGGTAATTACAGGAATTTGCACTAAATGGCTGAAGAATTCACAGCAAAACTTTTCTTTCTCCCCTTCCTCATCCTTTTCCAAGCTTACCCCTCCCTGCAGCCCCGGGGAAAACTGCTCTCAATGCCTGCAAGATGTAATTACCAACAGCAGGCCCCTTACTTTAAACAGCAGCCCACTGCAGGGAACAGCACAAACTGCCTGCGGGAAGCAAGGTATAAGGAGGGAGTCTTAGCGTCTCCAAAGTCTCCTCAGCACAACTTTTCTGAGCCAGACAAGATTTCTCAGTTTCTCTCAGTTGTAATTAAAATCATTTGTTTCTTTGTGTTGTGTTAACAGCCAGAAGTACCAGCTGACTTACAAACCAGCTTGGAGGGTCTCAGGGCAAAGGGTGTGCTCCCACAGTAAATGCTATGTACCCAAGAATGGGGATAGTCCCAATGGTATCATCAAAAATCCAGGAGGTGGCATGCTTCTTACTGGCAATTCACAATTCAAACTTCCCTGAGCAAGAGAGAACTGAGCTTTTGCTCAGTTCTGCAGACTGAAAGGAGCACTGGGAAAGTCTCACATGTATCAGGAAAAGACACAACGTGAGTGCCACTGTCAGAATACTTCATCTTTGCGGGGAACACAGATGAGTTCAGACTAAGTGTCCCATGTTTGGTAGAGGAAATCCACTTCTTCCTATTCAAGAATCTCTTCACATACAACATAATGCAACACTAAAATATATCTCACATTGCAGATACACATTTTGTTGACATTACAGGACCTGATCCTGCCGGAAACACCACCTTGAAATTCTCCTGGACCTCAGCCAAAGGACAAAGCAAAATTAGAAGATATTCCTCCACCAACCTTGAAATGAAAAGAAATAAGAAGAAAGGAATAGAGCTTGAATACATTGTGGGATGTTATCTTAAAATGAGACTGTAAATTCTTCTGACTTCAGACTTTTTCAAGGTCTGTCTGCTAGGTACCACACGAGGTTGACTGCATCTTGGGGATACATGTTTGACTATGCCCAGAGTCTTCTGACAGCTTTCATTCTCACAACTTCCTTAAAGGTAAGATATCTCTGTTGCTGCTGTTTTAGAGGGGGCAGATGTTTGCTTACACTTTTAGGTACCCAATGGCATGCAGCTAATCAGAGCTGTTGTTTTACTCAAGCACCTTCAATTGAGTTTGGCACCTAATTAGTCCCAGAAAAACAAGACATGAAGTTAGAGTTCATAGCCAAGAACAGAACTGAATTCAAGCAGAAACCCCAACAACTTGACCAAACTGATAACTGCCATGATGCAAACCTTTACAATACTCCAGCAAACAAAGAAGTGCCATGTACCGTGGAGAGGTGAGCAGGAGGCATATCTGTAGGTGATCACCACAGAGAGACAAAGCCAGCTTCTCCTACACCCAGCTCTGCAGACAACAAGTGTTTCTGAGGGCTCAGGTCTCCTCCGGCAGGGATTCAGGCCAGCCAGCTGCCCTGCACAGATCCTAGAAAGCCACGTGTTGTTCTAAACCAACAGGAGAACCTCAAACCAGACAGCTTCCCATCCCAGGGGGAATGCAGCACCCTAGCAGCTTCCACAACAAATGATGAAAACCCACTGAAAAGCTGCTATTGATGCAGCTGGCAATTTTAAATGAACATAACTAAAGCCAGCCTGCGGACCACAATTTTGGCAGAAGTGTCCAAATTTGCTCCACAATGCTGCCTTTACTAAAGTAAAAAAAACAATGAAATGCATTCATATGGGTCCCCTCTATTCTCACCTCATTCCCAATCAGGTGAAAAATCACACTCCTGTCTAGGACTAGAGTCACATTTCAAATGAACTGAGATTCACAATTAGATGCAGAACCTGAAGGTCATGTTTTCATCTCTGCTTCAAATGAAGTGAAGAGCAGATAAACTCATGCTAGAACACGTGTCACCAAACAGTGTACGTCAGGGAAACATACACATGGCTTTAAGGAGTCTCCTCAGAAAGCTCAATACAAAGTAAATTCCAAAAACAACTTTGAGGAGAGTTATTAATAAAAAGACACAAGTCCTTGATGTCGGAAACCAGTGTTGTAACCAGAATTCAGGTTCTTTTGATTGTGGACCACTGTCCACTGTCCTTTGAAAACAACTCATCTGCCTAGTAAGGAAGCCCTGGCCTATGTAGCATATGCTATGTGTGCACAATCTAATGCTTCAGAACTGTGCATCAAATGCTAGAGAGTCTTTGCATATCTTTTAGGTTTTTCTCCACATTTTAGAGAGCAAAGAAAGATTAATACACCAAAGTGCCTATGACTGTAGCGAGAGGTAGAAAGCTGTATGCTGCTAAAACAAATGTAAGCTCTTCCACATGATTTTTTGTTTGTTTCTGCAGAGGAGGAATGGGTGCAGAAACTGCTGTCTAGTTGCTTACCTGCACACTTGAAGCTCTGAACTGTGAGCCCTCTCTCTAGAGACAGCGTGGTCAGGATGCTGAGGAAGCTGGTTGTCACAGACTGGCGCTTGCTCTTCCTGAAATCATTTCCAAAGGGTCGATCTCCAGGTTTGTTTCGAAGCATGACCTGTGGGTTCTGACCTAGACTTCTAGTGGCATTGGCTGCTGTTTTCAGTGCTTCCATCCACTCCTGAGCCCTCTGACGGGTCTCTGCACGCAGGCGAAGGACATCTTGAGGAAAAATGACCTGAAAGCAAGAGTCACAGCCATCTTGAGTATCTGTCTGAACTGACAGGCAAACATCAACATTGTAGCTCAGCAGAGGATCTTCATCAAGCCTACCAGGTTGGAATGCCATTAGATAAGACCTATTTAAGACAAAAGTAAATGCCTTCCAGTTATTTTGGACAGTTAACCTATAAAGAGTCCCCGATTTGAGAATATTTTGGTATTCTTTAGTATTTTCAGTCAAATTCATAGACAACAAAAGTTCCATGGGCTTCTCTACCAATCCGTTAGTCTGAGAAAGGTCACTGCTATTGTTAGGCTCTGGCACATTCTCCACTTGCTCTGGCTGTCTTGCGAAAGTAGGCACAGAAGCACGCATCACTTCCCAGAGCTTCTGCCCCCAGTCCAAAGCCTCCCATGATGACTCTGCCTTCAGCTGCAGCTGAGAGTTGTCCGACAGGACAGCCTCCACCACCTTGGCTTCAATGCTACCAGTAACAGCGACTCTTTGAAAATGCACGAGCGGATACACGGTGGGAAGAGTCTGGTTGCCACTGCTGTCCAGGCAATACAGGTATAGTTTGTATGGGGAGAGCTCAGCATAACAGGTTTGCCAGTAGCTGTCATTGTCTCTTCTAATTTCTAAGTATCCCTTCTTCAGAATATTTGGGAACGTTGGCTTGTGTTCTAGAAGAAACAAAATGAGAACATTAATTCATTTTAAATAACATCTCACTTTGCTCAGTCATACTGGCTTATACTTTTCTACTGATCAGACATGATGTTATTCAGAGGCTAAGACCACAGAAATAGCCTTTATCCAATATGCTATGATTATAAAACACAATCTTACTCAGAGATGCCAAAGCACTTTACAGAGAGGGGCAGGGAAACAGGGACACAGAAAATAAGCAATTTTTCAGCAATAATCCAGCAGAAGTGACAGAGCAACAAAACAGTGCAAGCCTCCCAGAACCTAGTCCAGAAGAGTACAATATTGTAAGGTGAACATACAAGTGGCAATGGCAACACAAAGATGCTGAGCACAGATGATGACATCTAGACATACTTCACAGTGAATCTATCACCAAATTTGATATTTGGCTCACCAAATATCATGTGATAGACCTGGGTTGAACCCAGGTGAGCTCTCACTTCCTCCCTGAAGAGGACAGAAAAAAAAAGGAAAAAGCTCGTGAGCCGTAAAGACAAGGAGATTGCTTACCAATTACCATCAGCTACTACTTAGTGAAAACTAGTTTAATTTATAGCAAACTAAAATACATTTGGACAGAAAAAAAAAAAAAAAAGACGACGATGACAAAACGCAAAACAGCACCTCGCTACCCATCTTAACGGCCTCATTCCCGTAGGATGGGGGACAAACTTGCCCCAGCGAAGGATCTCCAGTCCTCCCGCCCTTCCCTCAGCAGCCCCCCAGGCGCCGCGCGCCTCGTGGAGCGGCACAGCTGCGCGACCGTTAGAGCCGTTGGAACCGGCCGCGCCCAGCAGGGGGCAGCCCGCACCTGCGCCTGCTCGTGAGGAGCGAAGCGTTGCCCTCTTGGACTCCGCCCTCCCTGTGATGGGACCTGCGATGGGTTTTGGCTCCCAACAGTCAGGAACTGCAGTAACACAGTTGCTCTTTCACCAGCAATTCCTGCCCTCGGCTCACAGCCTTTCAGAGGGATGGGGTAGGCGGCTGGAGGCAGGAAACATTTCCAGCATCACCGCTGAACCAGCTGCCGCTCGGGTCAACAGCCCACGCTCTAGCAAGAGAAAAACGTGAGCTCCTCTGAGCATGCCTAGGATGTCTTCAATGCAGAGCGAAGTACCTGGGTTTGACAGAGCTTGGAAGCAAAGAGCTCAGGATGCAGCTGTGCGTATGGTCCTGCATCCTCACCAGGCTTCCTAGGAGGGCTGGCTGGACTGCTCTTAGTGAAGCCCGCCAAAAAGCATTTATAGGATTAAATAGACAAGTTTCAGTCAACCTTAATCAATACCCATGAGAATTCATTGTTTTGGGATACTTGATGTGTGTATGCAAACCTGAGATAGGCAGTTAAAAGTGAGAGAAAGATGCTACCTCCCATCCACACAAACAAAATGGTTGCTTAAGTTTTGCTTTGCCAACCTGGCCTCAGCTTCCCCATGTAGCCCATATACACAGAACAGAGACTGCACATAACACCGTGCTCAAAAAAGCTGCATATAGGGCTAAAATCATAGCAATTGAAAAATCATTGTTTTGGCAGTAGGTATGAAAAAGCTGGAAATAAATAAGTATAACTGTATATTGCAGACAAATAGGCTACTTGAGAATATTTCAACTAAATGTGAAAACTGAAAGCCCAATCTAAAACTTAAAATGGTAGAGAAAAAGCATGCCCTCATAATTCCAAGCGGATACACACATGTGCATACACACACTAAAAGAGAACCAATTTCGTTCACCATCCATCTCTGGCTCTGACATTCATTAGTATTTCTGCGCTAACTCAAAAGCCATTAATTTATCTGAAACCCACACTAATCCCTTTGTAGTGCAGATAATGGGCATCCATTCTAGAGTCATCTTCCCTTTCTATTAATCCAATCAGGGAGGCAGCACTTCTGCAGCTCCAACTGCAATCTCTCTCGCTTCCATCAAGTACAGATGACAGTTCAAGCTTCTCCATAATAAGACAACTCATAACCTTCCCCCAGCCGCCCCTCCTTCATCTGCACATGCGTTTGCTCATCTTTTGTTGAGTTACAGAAAGGCTATCTCTCCCTCTCTGCCTTTCACAGAGGCACCCCCTCCTCCCTTCTGCACCCCACTCCTTCCTTCAAGCTCAGCTCCACTCTCTAAATGAGACAAAATCAGCCAACTTGATTAACATTCAAATGTATCATATTGTTTAGGACAGGGCAGTAGAGCTGACAGAGATGTGCTGAATCCACACACACACCCACTTACAGCCCTCTGCTTCCAGATCTCCTCCACATGCAGTGTGCGAGACAATGCCTTTCCACTCAGAGAGCAAATGCTCCCACCTCTCCATCCACCTTCAAAAGAGAAACTACACCACTGCATCTCTTCCTCCTTCCAGAAACAAGGAGAGTAAGTTGAGGAAGTATTAAAAAAAAGTGGAAGTAATGACAGTAAATGGCTCATGCCTGGACCATCTGGAGTTACAGTTTCAAGTGATGACGGGGAAGGAGGCAGAAGGAAGCAGAGAAACTCAGCAGCTAAGGACAGGACAATATGCTCTTCAGCATCTCTTCTCTCCTCTGGGGAGAGAGCTAGGCACCCTGCACCCAGCACACACCTACCACTTTCCATGCTTGGTGATAGGAGAGGGAGCCCAAAGGTTGTCTCAGCATATCCAGGAGATGCATGTCCCTGAACAACTGATGTACTTGTGTCCCAGGAAAACATGCCTTGCTCTGCACCACAGAAGCACTTCTGATTTCAGCAATACCAAGTAACTTGGAAATGTTTCATTTCTGAATGACTTGGTTTTTGAGGTGGTATTCCTATCTGGATTCTTTGGTTCTTAGAGACAAGCACAAATCACAGAGCTTTTGTCAATAGTCCTCATCTCAAATTCATGTAGAACTCAGCAGATGCCTTTCTGACCTGAAACGCTCTCTCAGATCAAGATGGATTGATGTCCCACAGGCTCCCGAGTTGTGAGAGATGGCATTGCCAGACATGTGGTCAGAGAGTACAGCTGCAGAAACCTGTGGAAGTCACCTTAAATATAAAAACAGTTTTTCTCCAACAATTTCCCAATTTAAGTACAGTTTTGGCATGACAGTCTCAACCAGAGATATGAGCTAGAAAATGCCTCTGGGTCCTTACTCTCAGCTCTGCCACTAACTCTGTAAGTCAAGTTGGCCAACTCATTTACCTGTACTTTTTGTTTCCCTCTATTCTGCACGACTTCCTCCTTAAGTCAACAGGACTAGTGACTTGCATGGTGCTTGCAGGATTAGGAACTAACTGTCCCTCAGCTGGCATGACTAAGATCTGTGATGTCCACTGGCCTCCTACTTAAAACCACCATCTTTTCTTCCCGTCCATTTTCCATCTGCCTCTGCAGGTGCTTCTTTTGCAGGCAAAAGAAGTGAGAAAAATCAAACAAAGATGCATTTGCTGATCCTTGTATAAATTCACTCAATTCTACTTCAAAAAGAAGGAAGAAAGAGTATAAAATGACTGACAAAGCTATGAAAACAGAGTCATTGGTTCACATTAGCAGTGACCACTAACACCACTAAGGGGAAAGTCTTATGTACTGTAATAGCAACATGAAAATTCAGTTATGAAAGTCATCACAACATCACTGGAAGCAATCAGCACTACCCCAGGAGATGAAAAACTCTATTAAGCTTTATGGAGTGCTGTAACTTCATAGGACATGGCCCTCCCAACCTAACTCGCTGGTGCCTTTTACTGTAATCCTCCTGCACTGTCAGTTTCTTTACGTGACCCCCTCCCATAGCCTCCCACTGCACTTCCCCTTCTGAGGCAGGGGAGCAGACAGGGCACTGCTGCTGTGAGCCCCTGTGGTGCCTTCAGCTCAGAGGGTGCCCAATGAAAAACCAGGACTGAGCCAGAAGGGGACACGTACAGCACTCCCCAAATCAGACAGAGCAGTTGGAGGGCAAGTCTGATCTAGCAGATGAGATGAGGTGATCCAAATTACACTTCTGTCTGATCTTAGGCAAAACATCTCACCCCATCCCTCTGCGTCCCTGCTCAGACTTGCTGCCTTTACTGCGTGGTTTGTTTAAGCTGTAGCCTCTTGGGAAAAGAGGCTGTCCCTTGCTAAATGCATAGACAGCCCTTAGCACTTGGGGACCCCAGCCCAATGGAGGGCGTCTGACTCGTATTGGATTTTAAACAATTTTGATACCTCAAATCTTGACTGGTTCCAAATGTCTGCAAGCACAGCTTTCCCTTGCCTACCTTTTAATGCTGAAAATAGATTGGCTTTCCAGCGGCATTGGATGCTCCTACTGGCTGGATTCATCCTGGGATTATTTCCAAGTTGTCTGAGGCTTCCTGCTCTTTAGAGAGGAAGGTGCTAAGTGTTGTTTCCACACATCTGCCTTTTGCATGGCTACACTGTTGTCTTCTACACAATACCACACAGCTATAACAGTCTACCATCCTTGTGGCAATTGGTTCACCCTGACTGTGCAACCTCTACTTACTGCTGACAAAAGACAGTGCTAATGGAGTGTTTTTGCAAAACCACAAATAGTAATTACTTTCTACAGGTACATTGGCCAGAAGAGACAGGCCAAAGCGAGTGTACCTCCTTTGGTAAATGTAAAAGGAGAACTGGCTTCAACGAATGAAGAGAAGGCTGAGGTACTGAATGAGTTCTTTGCCTCAGTCTTCACTGGCGGCCATTCCAGTACTTCTGGATTCTGGATCTGAATCCAAGGATTCCAGTACTTCTCCCGTCCCTGAGCCCTACATCCCTACACCTCTGGGTGAGGACTGGGGTGGTAAATCCCCCCCCGCTGTGAGGACAGAGCAGGTCCAAGACTGCCTCATGAGCCTGAATGTGTACAAGTCTATGGGGCCGGATGGCGTGCATCCCAGGGTTCTGAAGGAGCTGGCTGAGGTGGTTGCCGAGCCACTCTCCATCATATTTGAAAAGTCATGGCTGTCAGGTGAGGTCCCAGATGACTGAAAGAAGGGTCACGTCACTCCCATTTACAAGAAAGGAAGCAAGAAGGACCCCGGGAACTACAAGCCAGTGAGTCTCACCTCTGTGCCTGAGAAGATCATGGAACAGATCATCCTGGATGACATGCTTGATCACGAGGAAAGGACACAACCTCTCTGTTTTCTGTCCAGCTGTCTTTAAGGCTCCTTCCCGAGCAGGACAACAGTGGCAATTGATGGCTCTGCCATCTCCTGTTCTGTGACCCACTGCCAGGAACCTGCTCAGCGCAGCAATACGTACTACTAAATGCTGCAAGAGCTAGCAACATCGGCACAGAGACAGTGCCAGCCACTGCTGCTATCTGGATATCTGGCAAACAAAGATTCCCCCATTTTTCAAGCAGATTAAATAATTTTCTAACAAAGCTGAAGAGAGATGAATTAGGATTGGGATTTTGTTTTAATTTCAATGACTCCCATTTCCCTGTCAATTTGCATTAAAAAGTTAAGAATTACATTTCAGGAAGAAATTCCCATTCTGATCAAAGAACAATTTGAGTGTCAACTTCTCAATGGCACCTATTCAAAGGCTCCAAGAAGCTCTCGATTATGATATGATTTTGCAATTCAAAGCAGCCAGACCCTGCAGGTCTTATGGCTGTGATTTCAGCAGCCTCTGGCTGTAATAACACTAAGCACTTGCATACAAATGCTTACAGATATAACCTAAACAATATCTTTCCCCGGGAGATGACACTTGTTGATTTCTGGTACAGACTCCCTACTACCAGCACCAAGGCCTATCACACTTGACAGCCATGTCAAATAGCAGCGAGATATAAATCAACTCCTTTGCGTAAGGATTAACCTACTCTCAACTGAACCCAGATTGCAAGTGTTGCTGAAAATCTGTAGGCCCAGGAGCTTACAATAACATCACGATGATGCACCTATGTCCATCAATCAATTTAGGCAAAGAAGAAAACCCTTGCAATTTCCCTCACCAATTCACATGCACTTCCTCAGCATCCCTTCAACCTGCTCCTTACCCAGCTACTGAGTACTACGTGCATGGCAGTGTTTGGTTAAGCTGGAATTGAGACTGCTTTATGCCACATAAGGTCAGTATAGGAGTAGAAAAATGAAATCCTTCCAGTCAACATGATCCCTGAAGTAGGATAAAGCAGCTTTGTAAAACTCAAAGATCAGTACCAATCCTCAGTCTGTGAACCACTATTGTGCTGCTCACGAATAGAAATTTAGATACGTTTTTCCTCCACAAAAATATACTAGAGAAGTTTGCCAGTGTGACACAATGGATAACACAGCAATGACAGCAGAGAGTGAGGTCTTAAGCTGCAGCAAGTGAGGGTTTGCTCAAATACAACAGCTGGGGGCACTGAAATAAAGGAAAGAAGCTGCTTAACTTCAAAAGGCATCAGGTACACAGGGATCTCCAGCAAGTGTTATCTCCACGGCCAACCCTTAAATGAGGTCTGGGAAGGGATGGATCCTGGCTTGACCCCTTCCAGTCACTTAGGTGCATGGCATGGCATGGCATTGCATTGCATGCACCTGAGCTCCCCTGGGTTGGCCCTGCCTTCCTACCAGGTGCTCAATCACTGTTAAAAGCAGTGACTTAACATTTCCACTACATGTCAGATATCCAAGAGTTGCATGAAGTTGGGAACCAAACCTCTTTTGAAATATTTATTCTCTATACTACTCCTGAAGACGTGATCAGACCTTTGCAGTGTTATAAACGATGGCTAGGTTCCCAGACAGGTAAAAAGATGCAAAGAAAGGGAAACAGTGGTAAATCAGAGAGGCAGAATGAGAGAGAGGCAGGTGAAAGTCAGTAGACTTTGGTCTTGTTAGCTATTTTAAGGCAATCATTTTTTTCAACATGACTATTTTGCCATGTTGCAGCACTGCAACCAAACCACAGATGCAGCATCCTGACAAAACCAGGGGGGCTGTCTGATTTCCTACCCGCACAGCCTGCTGGCAAGGGGCACCAGGCCATCAGCTCTCTGCAGCTGGGACGCTTTCAGCACACAGATCCTTCTCCGCTCAGTGAAAGCTCTTCAGTGCCCCGTGCTCACAGGCATGGCAGGCAAAATAAGCAGCTACCTGGGAAAAACACTATAGCACTCACGCTCCTAGGACTGGTTGTGTTTGAATGAAAACATCCACATGACTGTCAAAGATAACTACTCATGCACTGTGTTTTGATGATCTAAGCAAGCTTTCTCAAGATGCTACAGAAGCAGTATTCTCCCTTTGTTTGCCAGGACACATGCCCAGAAATACAAAAGCCTGCCTTGAATTTGCTTGCAACTTCTTTCTTTTCTAGCTCCACTTACTGCTTGACACTGCTCTCCAGTGCTCATTTCTGGTACACTAGCTGCATTACCAGCAGGCCTGAGCAGATACAGCCCCAGAAGGCACAACTTCTTTCAGAGCTTTTCCTTCACAGAACATGGAATGGATCCAGTTTCATTTTATTTGTATTATGAGAAAGTAAGCAGGAGGAACAGATAAGCTCAGAGTAATAAATATAATATGAAGATGATGAAAAAATAATAATTGTGATTGTGAAGAGCTAATCTGTGCTGCAACTTGGCCGGCCTCGGAGGACGGGGAGACCTCTGCAGGCTCCAGAGGGAAGTCCTTCACTGCCACAGGGACTAACAAGAGCAGCTGCAAGCTGCTCTCTGTACCTCATATGCACTGGTTTAATCTACATCAAAGGCCTGGAGAAAGATGCTTCCATGACTTTTTCCACTACCCCAGCAGCTTTCAGCCAACCTGCAAATACATTTTTTGGTCTGTTGTGGATTACAGTTACCAGTTCCAGGTACACATTCCTGCAACACTTACTTTCTTGGTTTTACTTTTCTGTTTTAAGCTCAGCTCAAAGTAACAGCAAACTCTAAGGTAGGCTCTCCAGTAAATACAAAGGGAAGAAATACCACAGCTACCGTCTGAACCGTGCACAGCAACAGAACAGAATATGCCAGGGAAACAGGTTAGAAGTTCATTTTCAGACCACAGGTCTCATTCCCCAAAGGAGGTACCATCATTCTAAGACAGACATCCCATGCAGAAGGACTCTGGGAGAGCACACAGCAAGCACTGACAGATGCCTCACGCCTTCACAAGAAGCAGTAGGAAAGTGTGAGCTGAGCATCTTAGAGGTACTGACTGCTGCAGGGCTGCAGCAGGGTCCTGGCAGAAGTTTGTCAGCCACTCTTATCAGCCCATTTCCCACCCTTCCTTCTGCACTTCTAAGATCCCAGGAATCAACCCTACTGAGTCTCCTGTACAAAAGATATTTTGAATACAGCTTTGACCCCAGTCCACTTCTGACATTTACAAAATAAGTCATAGAGATGGAGAAAGTGGTGGAATGTTTCTGAAGCCCTGAGCACAACCTCTTCCAGTGTGCTGCTTGAGAAAGGAAAAGGAAAAACTATCACTTGCTGAAATATCACCTCATACAGCTCACTGGGAACACCTGCCTCAATCTAATAACCTCCTCTACACCACACAAAGCAGGCAGAGAAGCCTTAATACTGACAAGCACAAATAGCATGCTTGAGTTTTTGTTAATTGTTTACAGACTGAATAGCCAGCATTTCTTAAAGAAACAGAACAGAGATCTCAGGCTTCACAGTAAAACTTCATATACCTACTCTCTTTTTAATGGCTGCTCTTTAATTACTTTATAAAAGCTGACTTAGTTTGTCATTGCTTTAGCATGCAAAGTTGTTTAGTTTAGGAAATGATTTTTCCCCAGTACAAATGAATGAAATAAGAGCAAAAAGGAAAACAAGCTTAGTTTCTCAAACAGAAGATTGTTTTAAACACTGACCTCTTTGCCAGGCAAACAGACAGAGCTGTATCAAAGACAAGTCATGCTGTTTTACATCATCCTAAGAGTTAACTCATAGGGGTTTTTTGTGTTTGTTGTTGTTTGTTTTGAAACAAGCAGCTCCTTTTGGAGGTAAATATTAAAAACAAACAGAAAAGCCTCCACTTCTATAGAAACAATAACATATCCATACAAACCTGTGTTTCCTTGGATGTCTTGTCCCTTGGTTAGTGCCAGGTAGGAGAGCAGAGCACAGTTATTGTCCTGACCTGGCAGAGCTGGCTGCTGCAGAGAAGTGCCAGTGAAGACGACTCCCCAGTTTACATGGCTGATATCAGAGCGTGAGCGGTTGTGTCCTGGCTTGAACGTTGAGGCTTCTTCATTTTGCACCAGGATGTCATTCACTGACCGAGGCCTGTCCCTCCTCCGCTGGCAGATGTTGAAGATGTTAAAAGCAGCAGTCTCTCCCTCCCCTGCCCAAGCAAGGCTGTCAGCAGCTGTTCCCCTCCGCAGCACGTGCTGATCTTTGGCAGAGAGTGCCGTCTGGGCTTTTGTTTCCAAGAGGCCATTTTTGCAGTGATCCCAAAGGAGGCTACTTTTGGCTAAGGAGGCAACGTTCCTTAGATTCCTGCTCTCTGTTATCTGATCAAACACCTCATGCCCAACCAGCTCAGGCACCTCCTGGACACCAAACACCCCAGAGGGCTGCACAATCTTCTCAAGCTTAGTATCGAAACTGTTGAAGAAGTCTTCAGTCACTTCCAAGGCAGGGCTAATATCATCAACTTCAAGAGCTTCCATGTCCTGTGCTGCCAGTGGGCCCAATGGAAATGGTTGCTTCACATCTGCCCTTTGCACACCACTAATTCAGAGATGGTAGGACAAGTCACACATCAACCACAATCCTTACTGGCAGAGAGGAATTCAACCAATCCTTTTCTTCAGATGTGAGACTGAACATTCATGACAAAGTTGGCTGTAGTCACTCTAGAAAGCACGCTCATAGCGATAGCAGTTCACCTGTAAAGCAAAGCAAAGCATCATGTCAGCATGGGCTCTTTCCCAGATAAATATGTTTATCTGCATCATTGTTTTCACAGTCACAGTGCGTTATCTCTTCTTGATCAGAGAGCAGGGTGGGCCACCAGATGTAAGGATACCACTTATAACCAAATGTCAGTAGCGTCCCTCTAATATGCCACCTAGGGAACTTAGTACTGTTTCCCATCAGACTGCAAAGCAAGCCAACTGACCTCGATTACTTTTTTTCTCCTGGATTACTCGCATTCTTTGTTTTAGGACACTGACACTAGTTTGCAACAACTACTTTGCTTGCCTGCGTAAACAGAACTGTGATATTTAATAAATCAGTGCTAATAGGCTGCTGCAGAGCGACTGCTGCACATTTCTCTCTAGAGTATTGCTGGGAACCTGTGTGAAATGGTGTGGCAACCTAAATCCCAGAAAGATAACACATCCTATGAGCAAAACAAAATACACCATAACCCATACTGTCATAGAGCTGCAGATCTTTATCTCTCAGCAGCTGATTTGGAAAACTTTAATAGAGAATGGCTTTAAGGCTGGAACTATTGAAGAGCTGTATTGAGCTCACTTCAGGAAGGAAGGGAGGGTTATTACACTCCCTGGGGTGCAATAAGGGGGTGTCTCATTGCCAAGCTCTGTCTCACCATGCCTGCTGCCCTCTAACCTCTCCTTCTTGAAGCTACGTCCACGGTGCTGCCATGCTTGAGGGACATACAGGGAAGCTAAGTTCAAATAGGGAAAAATCAAGCATGCACATTCTTGGGACCTAGAGACTGGGTGCCAGGGGTAAAACAACTCTCACAGCACCTGGAGCAGGCACACGCAGAATGGCCAAAAGTCAAAGAGATCTGTGTTTTGACATCAGTTCCAGGCCTAAAAGCAGAAAGCTGCATTAGCTCAGAGCTCTGTCTAGATTAATACACTCTTAGCAGAACTAATTAGCCTGGATAGGGCTGATAATTAGCAGCTCATTAGCTTGTGAATACTGCTAAGTGCCACCAAGACCCATGAAGATTTACACTTAGCAGGAAAAAACATCTATTAAACAGCATCAAACACACATCATGCTTATATTTAAAGTTTGTTGGGTTTTGTTGTTTTCTGTGGGTTGTTTTTTTTTGTTTGTTTTTGTTTTTTTTTAAATCAAGAACAGTCGACTTGCCTTACCCTAACTTAAATTAGCGAAGTCATTTAAATAGACACTCCTTCCTTAAGCCACAGGAAGGAAGGAGACCAGCATCTCCCAAATAAGGGCACAGAGTCCTGGAGCACAAAGGCTCCACAGGCATTCGCTGGCCTCCTCCCTCCCACTGCTATGGCCACAACACTCCTGTGCTGAAAAGAAGCTGCTCAGCCTCCTGTGTCACAAATCAGCATTTCAGACCATCATTTCTCTAACCACATTCCAATTAAAATAAATAAACAAACAAACATCCACATACATAACTCTGGAAACTTCAGAGCTTTACACTGAGATCTTTCTCCCCCATCTTTTTGCAAAGATTCTCTTCACTTTTCTCACAGCAAACCAGGACTAAGACAAACTGAAGAGTGAGATGCTAATGGCAGAGCCAGAACCAAAATGGAGTGCTGAACAAAACAGGTACAGAGTGGATTCAAATCAGAACAGTATGGGAACACTCTTTGCAAAGCTGTGCAATAGTACTAGTTGATGGCAGTGGGAAATGAAGCCATTCCAACCACATCCACACTGTCACCTTAAAGGAGCAAAGTTCATTCTCATAGATCATTCCTGCCGTTTACCCCAGAGCAGCATTCTGCTTGTGGTGCCTCAGAGCTCCAGCAGGCTGAGGAACAGTGTGTTTCAACCCATCCATTTATTCCACATTCTCCCATGGTATGTCTTTAAAGTAAGAACAGTATTTGGAAATTGCAAAACTGCAACAGGCTTTCACTTGAACAAAAGCAGCACCAGCACAACCCCATGTCAAGAGAGCTATAGGCTGACCACACAAAGGCACTGCCTCCTGAGTTGGCAGAGAACACAGCCCTGCTCTCACACAAGCACTGGAGCAGCAACCAGTCTAGAAGGGTTTGTGACATGCCACTGAAACACTGCAGAGGAAGAATTTCAGCAGTAGCACATGCGGTTATTTTAAATCATTGGGAAAGTTGAAAAAGGACAGGAAAAAAGTGACACTTACATTAACAGGTTTGTCCTTAACTGCTGGAAGCCGAGCCTCATGTAGCTGCACATTTCTCTGGATCCTAGAGACTGGAATTTCCAGTCGTGCAGTCATGCATAGTGCTGTAGAACTACAGCTGACCTCACGTCCGGGGAGATGCTGAATCACAGGGTCACGAGAAAATGGCAGGCCCTGCATCATATGGTATGCAAAAGGCAACACTCATATCCCCTACCATTGTTGATCAGTCCTTCTCCATAGGTACAGGCAATATGACCTCAGTGGCAGGCAAATCACATCCTACTACACCTAGAGCCTCCTCAGGTCAGAGAAAGAGTTGTGCCATGCATGCAGTGGCTCTCTCAGCACTGAGATTCAATGAATCTCCATAAGCACAAGCTGGCATCTTCTGACAGTGACATTCAGCAAAGATTTCTTTCAGACTTTTAAAGGGATTTTTGTGACAAATGAATGTAAGCTCTGATATGCCAGTAAACAGATCCATCTGAATTTCTCCAGGAGAGAAAGCAGTGGAAACCGCTCCTTTTACATAAGAGCAAAAAAGGAAAACAAAACATTAGGATGAACTCCTTTAAAATTACTATCATGTGTATTGCCTCGTGTATTGCTTCTCAGAAACACCTGAAATTTTCCAAGAACATTCAGCCTAGGATAGTGAATACAGCAAAGAGGGATGCATCAGCCCAGACTACTAAAAACTGCCAAAGCTACAGCAGCTTTAAGAAACCCATCTTAACCAAAATTGGTGAAGGCAATGCATTGTTCTTAGCAAAAACTGCTCAGCATTGGTTTGTAGCAGCTGAAAAATAGCTACTGTAGATACAGCTTCTGAAGTGCACAGACATGCTACAGTCAGATAATGAATGCTCACAACATGAGTTAAGTCTTTACTATCACAAGAGCATAATGCCCACATTACTCATAGCAGAGGCAAGCAGCAGTGACTGCAGGTCATGCTGCACGGGACATGGAGTTTCCATTTAGTTAGGGATACACAGAGCCTCAAGAAGCCACAAGGGCCAACCTAGCTGACAGAGCAATGTGGCCACAGAGGAAAACCATGGATGACCAATGCCAGGGAATGTATGCTGGAACAGATATTTTCAATTCCTGATGTGCTTTTCTGGATCCCATCTTCCAGGAAGAATATCTGGGCAGCACACTGCAATTAGTAGCAGGGAAGAGGCAAGGGCAGAAAGTAAATCTGCAAGTGACAGACCTCCATGACAGCACCCACTGTGTACCCCCAGCTCAAGCATCGTGACCAGGACTGCTCATTCTAGCTCGAGCAGGAGAGAAACAAGACAAAGATCCATTTGGCTCTGTACTCCCCACAAGATATATATCAGACATCTTTCTGCTTGCTTGCCTACCTAAGGAAAAAGGAGTTGTGCCACCATCCTGCCTATCTTCCAGTTGTTCTCCTTCCCTCTCTTTTGAGTTATGCAGGCAAATTCAACTAGATGTGGCAGTATGGTAGTGTCTTTAAAGACACAGTTCTTGCATTTGTTAAATACTGGGTAGAAAATGGGAAAATTCACACTTCTGCTAAAAGAGAGGCAAGCAAAACCCAGTTCGTCTTCCTTTTCAGAAGCACCACCACTCAAGCATAACTGTTAGCGTTAGATAGATCTGAAAGCACCAGGAAGTAGAAAAGAAAGGAGACATGACACAATTTAGTAAGAAAGCAGCCAGGTTGATTTTGTTGCTCACAGAACTTCCTCAGAGAACAACTGATGAGTTTAGGTTATACACAATAGATAAGTGTCTTCTCCTTTTTTTCTTGTATTTGGGGAGAGAATTGGAAAGGAATGATCAATAACATACACAAGCAATAGTTTCAGGAGGAAACATATAAACAAGAGGAGTGCCCAGCCACACAAAAGATAGAAATACATAAGTAATACAGTTTCACTGATTCCTAATGACTCTTAGAATCAAATTCTCTGGCAGAGAATTTGGTATTTCTGAGAATTCTCTCTCAAGACCACAAGAGGAGTTTCACAGGTTACCTGTCTGCAAACAGAGAGCAGTTGTGCCTCTGGAGTTCCTGGAGAGCTCACCTCATCCCCTTCTGCACCTTTGAACCTGTTGAGGGAACAAGCTGCACTTAGACCACACGCTGCTTAGCAACTGTGGGCTGAAACCCCTCTGTATGCAGGAAAACTACAGAAGAACAGAACATTTTTTGGAACATTTGGTAACAATTTGGTAGCAGAGCAGATTCAGGCAGCCACAGCAACCTTTACTGCTGCAGATTTAGACCACTAATAAGCCCAATTCATGTCTGTGACAAGCTCAGTCTAACTAAGAGGTTATCTGAAGAAAAGATGAACATACAACCACCTTGAGCAGAACCACTGGGGCTGGTGCAGCTGATATCCAATGAGCTTTTCTGTCAGTCAGACTCTGAGCAACCTCAGCCTGTGAACTCTCTTTGAGCGGTACCTTGAAAAATCACAGCCTACAAGCTTAAGCTCTGAGGGTTCCATCAGCCAAGTACTGCACAGAATCTAAACGGGATGCACTTAGGTCAGTGGCTGTCCTTGAAAACCAGTATGCTATGCAGAATCCCTAATAAATACATTAGGGAGCTGAAGACTTAGGAGC